TACTTACGTCTCTCTCCTCTCTCTCTCTCTCTCTCTCTCTCTCTCTTCTCTCTCTCTCTCTCTCTCTCTCTCTCTCTCTCTACCTATCTATCTATCTATCTATCTCTATCTTCCCATGTGCATCCCGAGATCCTTGAGCTCGGTATGCAATCTCAGCATCCGTTGCTCCGCAGGATAACGATTGCGCGTCATGTCTCCGCGATCCTCACTTTTGATGCACTTTGATGCACTTGCTGAGATATATTTGGAAACTACATTAGCTCGATTGTTGCACGATAAACGTCAACTTTTCATAATATTTATTCGTAAATTTTTACATAAATAAGTTTTTATTTTCAATTATTGTTACAAAAAATACATTTTAAAAACAACAAAATACTTTACTGCCTATTATTTAAATTCTAATTCTCCTCTTTCCTTCCCTTAGTTTCTCTCTTTTTCACAATTTCCTTTTTTTCAGTCTAAGAAAAAAAAGGAATACAGCTCGCAGAAGTGCGAGCATGAAAGATGCTCGCAACGTAAGAAACCAAGACATGCTGATTTTATACGCACAACAAGTGCATCCGTCTTGTCGTTTCTCCACGCTAATTATTCATAAATGCGAGCTTAAATGGCGACTGCAAAGTGGAAAACGTGTACATGGGCGAATAGAAAATACATACGGCGATGATAGACCGTGACGCGATCTGATGCGCGTATAAACGGCAGCCGCCTTATCATCTCTCCGCGGAAATTACTCAAAGGCATGCAAGATTTAAAAACACAAGTAAAAAGTGAATCGATGTAGAATACAGACGACATCAATACGTTTTCAACAAGGTTTTGTACACATCGTTTTATACACTGATTGCACAAGTCTATAAGTATATCGTTATTGCGATAAGTCAAGTTTCACACACGTTAAAGAAATCTATTGCAATTTCGATACTACATTTGAAATATGCAACAAAAAAAAGAAACAAACAAACAAAACATTCAACGCAGAAATTAATAAAGGACTAATTGCAGACGGATGGCTATTTGATAATGGAAAAAAATAATTTCTTTTTCACATAAATTTAATTGCACCGATTTTTCTATGTCTATGGAGTGCGATCCAATACTTAATGGCAAACTAAAATAATAAAATTGTTTAAAGTTATTTTGAAAACTAAAGCAAATAAAAAATTTACAAATAATATCAAATAATATTGAATAAAAATTTCTCATTTTTCACACTTGCATGAAGAATAAAACTTGATCATTACCATGCGTGTTCGAAGAGGAAAAAGTCAAGTAAAAGTCAAGATTATTGTTGCTATTCGTAATATTGATAATGAATCGAGTTGACTAAACGCCAACAACAAGTGTCAAGGTACTCGCACGAACAGGAAGTGCGTACAATCTACAATAACAGATGACACGCAAGGGGTCGAAGGGGAGGGACTTGCCGAGACCGCCGCTGATCTGAGTAAACTATGCCACTGAGCGCTAATAACGTTTCACTTGTTGCGTTTTCTCGGAAAGCTTAATTAATCATTAGACGCCGTAGGGGCACGGGGCACGGGGGAATAAGGCTCGAATGGACGATTGAACGCGGGATGGAAAGAACGAGGCGCAGACCGCCCGCCGCTATGCAGCACTCGCCTCCGACGCACGTTAAATACATATTGCGGCGCGCGATGCGCGTGTATTCGTGCGAAATCTGAAAAATGCATTATCTCGACTTTCCATGCGATACGCTCATAAATGGTGCATCCGAGGGACGGCGTCATCGCGACGCAGCGTATTTATCCGCGCCGGCTAACACGTGTATCCACTCTAAAATTTCTTGTGGCGCGCTGCGAAAGGCTGCCAGAGGATCGCTGCGAAATCCTACTTATTGTTAGATTGAAAACAAAGCAATTTTCAATTTTGTCTACGCCTCGACGCCATCGTCGTCATTCATTACTCGTCTCTCCTTCGCGATGCACGCGCAATTCACTGCGTACTGATTCCAGAAATGTCAGACAGTTTCCGATCATATGCGCTATCAACACTTGTATCGAAAACTTTTCATTCCTTTAATGATTGCCTACTCACTTTATCTTGAAAATGACCAAGTAGCCTATAATAAAGAAAGTTGATATATCACAATAAATATATTAAAATATAATCTCTCTCTCTCTCTCCCTCTCTCATATATCTATAATATAAAACGGATAAAAATATGACAAATAAAGAAATGGCAATTATTTGTTGATAAAAAATACGTATAAAAGAAAAATATCTGTTACATAATCTCTAATGTAATCCTCATAATCGAAAACTTACAAGCTCTTCTTTGATCAATGTAAAAGGAAAATTGAATCATATAAGATAATTATGATTAAATCGATTTTTATGTAACTTTAATCAAATAAGAAATACACGAAGGACATATATCTCAATTCAGGAAATACTGATCAACGACATTTATATTCACACATGTATTTTCTTTCAGATGTAAGACAACGATAGGTATACCATCAACCTCTTTTCGATTCAATTGACGTCCTAAACTTTCAATTTGCTTCCGTGCTGCTTGATGCACTTGAACAGAAATTCCACGCGCTTATCAATGACAATGCGATCGTGGGTCGCGTTTCACAGAGCAGCTCGTGATGCAAATACGTTCTTCGCCAAGTATTGGCGATCGATCTCCGCAACAAGAGTCCACAAAGTACGAACAACTGTGAACCGTATCCGCGACCCGTTACGACTTCCTCTATCACGCGGTCGGTTGCGGCGTATCTCGCACTTGTAACAAACAATGCCAGTCTTGTACTCAATAGGATAGGAATGAGAAAAATCGATCAATAAGAAACAGCAGCCCGCCTCGGTGGAACCCAGCCTAGAAATCCTTCTATTAAAGGCACACCAATGACGGCCAAATACGTCACTGTAAAAAAATCAAGGAGCTCAATGGCTCCCATTAAGAGGAATACCGAACACGCTTTTTATTGCTAGAGTGAAATTATTAGCGCTATTCTCAATGAGACGCGCAACTTTCGAAACTGTAAAGATACAAATTTAATATTTTATGTTGCGCAAAATTACTCGATATACCGATATACGACTTATCTATAATTGAGTTTTACTACTTCCCTATTCGCGATGATTCAGATTACAGAGGTGTGTTTTTATACAACTAAAATATAATATTTCATATATAAAAAAATATTTATACCCATAATAAATATATAATATATATTAAACAAATCTTGATCTATAAATATTCGATCCATTTCACAATCACTCACAATCGCTAGAAACTACAATACGATGAAATCAGCGCAGATAGATTCTCATCAGAATCCGCCGGTTCAGACGACGCAACGTTGTTATCGCAACAACGTCATTAAATTACTACATTACTATGTGATCAATAAACAAATTCTCTTCTAATAGTACGTACTCAGACAGCGGAATTGTGGGTCGCGCGACGGGTTTAACGGCGCCATATATTAATACACGACTTCTGTCCGCGTCTCCGAGCACTGCTGCACTTGTAACTTTTACGTCGCTATTATAAATAAACGACACTTGCCCCGCAATTACGGTGGATCGTAAAAATTATGCCAGACCCTGCGTACGCCTGAATAAAAATTAAATGCCGTTGCGCTTAACACATTGTGTACAAAGTTACGGCTTACAATTTTAAAGCATTATATTATATAAAACTATCAACTGTGCAACGTTAAATCAGCATGAAATTGAGAAACTGACAAATTCTGCGCATATACAATATATCATTGCATAATACACTTGTGTGTCTACTTGTGTCAATATCTCTCCAGGCTATTCTGTTTCAAGTATTCTCTCATAATTTCTTCATCATTTCATGATAGAAAATGTAGGATTCAATATATCACACAAATGTCTCGTCATAAATTTCAAGAATTTAAATTATCGTTTCTGCCAATAAAATTCATACATATCAAGTTTGAAATATTTACGCAGCGTACTTGAAAATTCCGAACTTGACGTAGCGAAACGACAAAATAAAACGGAAGAAGGTGGCCGTCCAATTATCGGCATCCGGCGTTGCGGGAGGCCCGCAAATTTGGTATCACGGTGGTCCTTTGAGAGGAATTTTCGTCGCTATCGGGACCCGAACCGAAGCGACGCACACGCAGTGGATACAAAAAGAAATGACCGTGAAATATGATGCACGATACGCGGCGCGGCATTGTTTTCGGCACGAGAGATCCGTACCCTTTCTCGAAAAGAAGCTGCCAGGTCGGACAAGGGACTGCGAGAGAGAAGGGGGAGGGGGGAGGCGAGTTTCGAACAGCTCCTCTAATGATACTGGAACACCTCGATCAGCTTAAAGAAGATTTCCACCACTAGACCACAACGACAGAGTTCAAACTCCATTTCAAGCGCGCGCGCGTTTAATCCTCCTTCTGATCCACCTTCTGATCCACCGAAACTCCTATTTAAATGGGACTGCTCATCGTTAAACGTCGCTGACTATAATCT